AACTCATAGGTATACAGCCAACCACTGGGCATTGCGAGGCTCGAACTCGCGACCTTGGGATTATGAGACCCACGCGCTACCGACTGCGCCAAACGCCCTTGCGGGGCTTTTCAAACCCTAAACCCTGAACCCTAAACCCTAAACACTAACCTCTATCTAAAGCAATGGGACAGTTCGTGGGCATTGAGAGACTCCAACACGCGGACTTTGCATTAGGATGCTCTCACGTGCTACCGACTGCGCCAGACGCCCGTAGAGGCACATCTCACCCCTCTAAACCCTAAACCCTATACCCTAGCCTTTAAACTGTCAGACATAAGTAGAGGACAGTCAGCTGTCTGAGCAACAAGAACGGTAGCACCAGCTGTTTTGTGGAATTGCATGTATCGGACTGCGTCTCTGTTTTTTATTTATCTTCTTTTTTCTTTCTCTTTGTTCTTCTGTGACGATAGTCCTCTAAAGATGCATTTACATTATTTGCTTGAATCTCTTCGACTGTACGTACACCTCCAGCTGGCACCCCACGATCGCAAGCGGTAAATGCCCAACTGGCTGGGCGGCCAGCTAGCTAGCTAGCTAGCTAGCTAGTTAGGTGGCTAGCTAGCTAGCCATTGATCCAACGAGCAAGCTGTACCTTGGAGTGGTTAGCAGCAGCATCACCAACTATTTATCTTCAAAGGGTCCGGAGCAAAGTCTGCATCCCATTAGACAGTTTAGAAGGACTGGTGACTAACCTACGCTCTTCTGATAAACCCTAAACCCTAAACCCTAAACCCTAATTCCCAAGTGCGATGGTCGGTGTCTAAACCCTAAGAAACCCTCTTGTCTTGTCTTTTAAAAAAGCATACTGGGGCGGGAAAATCGATCTCTTGGGTGTAGGGTCTAGGGTTTAGTGTTTAGGGTTTAGGGTTTAGGGTTTAGGGTTTAGGGTTTAGGGTTGCATGGGCAGCAGCATTAGGGTTGCATGGGCAGCAGCAGCGGGCCGACAGTCTCAGCGGCCGAGGCACCTCGACGTCCTTAAAAGACACTACCGATTCTTTTAGAAGTGAATTAGCTATTGAATTATTGAAGTGTTGAGGAGCAAAACGAGGGTAAAGAGTTCAAGGTTTAGGGTTTAGGGTTTAGGGTTTGGGGTTTGCGATCTGGAACAGTGCATGCGCTGGAAGGCAGCACCAGCAACGCCTGCTAATCCCTCCGCCTTCGCAGCACCAGCAACAGAAATCAGCAGCAGCAGCACATTAACCAGCAGCAAACTTCAACTTGTCTTTCTCATTACTGTCATGCTGCTGCCAGCTGTCCGTACACCAGCCGCAGCAGCAGCAGCAGCTGTTGCTGCTGCTGCCGGGCCAGGGGCATCGACTGCAGCAGCAGCAACAACAACAGCAGCAGCGATACCAAGAGCAGCTTCTAAGCTGCAGCAGCAGCACCTAGGACTGACGCTGCAGCAGAGACACTTTGGTATATTTGGAGGCTGGAAGGAACAGCCAGCAGCAGCAGCAGCAGCAGCAGCAGCAACCAAAGAAGCAGCATCTGCAGCAAAGGATAAAGGAGCAGAAGCAGCAAAGGACGCAAAAGACGCCCTGACTGCAGCAGGAAGGACTGCTGCTGCTGCTGCAGCAATCCCCAACGCCTCGCCACACCCCAACTCTGAAGGGAAACCCAGCAGCAGCAGCAGCAGCAGCAAGAGCAGCACCAGCAGTAATAGGGGCTTCTTTTCTTTCTTTAGAGGCAAAGCAGCGACACCCCCGTCAGCAGCACCCGCAGCAGCAGCAGCAGCAGCACGCCCAGAAGCAGCACCACGTGCACCTGCTCCTGCAAACCCGTCTCCAGAAAAAGCCAAGAGCAGCAGCAGCAACAGCAGCAGCAGCAGCAGCAACAGCAGCAGCAGCAAGAAGCCAAGGGTTCCCGTGCTGCAGCGGTTGAAGTATTTCTCTCTGGGTTTCCTTGTTGCTGGTACCTTCTCCTTGCTGCTGCAGCAGCAGCAAGTAGAGAGCACCAGCAGGGCAGCAATGCAAGCAGCAACAGATTTAGCTGCACGACTATCCGAGCTAGAAGATAAGCTCCATCAGCTGCAGCAGCAGCAGCAGCAAAAGAAGCAATAAAGACAGCTGCAGCTGCTAGCAGCAACTCTGCTGCAGCCTGTGTCTGAGGTGTATGTCCACCTCACATTTTTCTTAGACTCTCCGCGACTGCACCACTCACCAATTCATTAACAAACTTGCTAGCTAGCTAGCTAGCTAGCTACCCAGTTACCTAGCTAGCTAGCTACCCAGTTACCTAGTTAGCTAGCTACCCAGTTACCTAGCTAGCTAGCTACCCAGCTACCCAGCTAGCTAGCTACCCAGCTACTGAGCTAGCTGGCTAGCTGGAGGTGGAGGCTGCTGCGGCGGGTACAGCAAATAGCTGAAGAAGGCTACACCTAGTTGGCTAGCTAGCTGCAAGAGGATGGCTTGCTAGGTGACGCTGCAGCAGCAACTCCCGAGGTGTACGTACAGCTGGCTGGCGCCGCACAGAGTCCTACGACGCCTTTGAGCTACCCATGAACCAATTGTTAGCTATCTAGCTAGCTAGCCACGGATGTACAGACACTTAGTGAAGAGCTCCCCTAGCTAGCTGACGCTTGGATGTGACTGCCGCTGCTGCTGCTGCAGCAGTGGCAGCAACGCTGCTACACAAGTGCTGTTTGGGTTCCAGTTGAACACAGCTTCAGTGGTGAAAAGGCGAGACGTTCCGCTGCTGCTGCTGCACCAGTTGCTGCAGCTGCTGCTGCAGCTGCCTGGCTGCTGGAGAATAGAGCAGCAGAACCAGCCGCTGCTGCACAAAAGAAAGAACGCCGGCAGCAGTGCTGCTGCTGCTGCAGTAACTGCTGCTGCAGCGGCTGCTGCTCGGCACACGAAGTTTGCTGCCCCTGCTAGGCAGCAGGTGTCTGTACACCCCAAACTACGGCAGCAGATCTGCGTCTGCTGCTGGCACACGAAACTTGGCCATAGGCCAGAAGAAAGCTGCAGCAGCAGCAGCAGATGTTGCTGCCGCTGCAGCAACAGAAGTTGCTGCTGCTGCTGCAGCATAAGTCGCTGCTGCTGCAGCAGTTGGCGAGGTCCCAACTGCTGCAACACAAGCTGGAGCAGCCGCAGCTGCTGCTGCCGCCG